CATCTGGTTTCCACCTTAGGGCTCTGAACCGCCGACGGGCATGCTCAGGTGTTAGCCCCATTCTGATTCTGGCCTTGTTTTTAAAAAGTTCATAACTGTTCATGTGTTCCTTAGGCATTTCAGCCGCCACCTCTGCTAAGGGTCCACTGAGCTGCGGTCTCAGCTCTACCATGTACTGGGTTAGAGGGATGTTGTATCCAAGGCAGGCCCTTTCAAAATTTTCTAAGAAGGCCTCAGTATCATCGCCTGCCTTGTAGGTGGGGAATTTCCTGGGATGGGAAGTGGTACCTGGAGAGGAGTTGTTAGGATGGTCTGCTGCATCCTGCCTAGTCCTTGCTGCTTCCAGTTCCATCTCTCTCTTGTGGGCCTCCTGTTTGGCTTTTTCTTCTCTTTCATGGGCCTCCTGTTTGGCTTTTTCTTCTCTTTCATGCTGCTCTGCCTCGAGTTTTTTAATTTCAAGCAGTCTCTGATGTTTTCTCTCGTTTTCTTCTGCTTCTAGTCTGGCCAGTTCTATTTTGTTAGTTACTTCTTTGGCAGTCATTTTCCTGTTTTCTTGTGCTGGGTCACACCCTCTGCAGTTGACTGAGACTGGGATGTGTACTTAGCTCTGGCTGCTGCTGAGTTAACAGAGACTTTCTAACAAGCTACTCCCGAGGATGTAAAAAGAAAAAAAAAAAAATCAAGCCTGTAAATTACCTTTACCAGTTAGAAAAATTTTCCTCCCTTTGAACCCTTCTCTTAACAAAGGACCTCGTTAAAAAAACTTAACACCTCTGCCTTCAGGCAAGGAGAGATAAGATATGCATCTACCTTCAGCTCTGCTCTCCAAGCAGCTAGAAGGAGAAAAAAAATCTCTTACTGGCTTTTGGGTTTAAACGATCTCCACCGCTGCCAACATGTCAAGGCTGAATCCCCACTTTGAACTTTAGGGTTCAAATGTAGGGGCCTGCATGAAAACTTCTAAGCTTATCTACCAGCTTAGCTTTGGTCCGCTGCCACCATCACAAGAATTCCCTCCCTGGGAAGCCTTGAGAAACCTTTCACCAATTCCCTGGTGAACACAGATCCAAACCCCCTTGGATCTTAAAACAAGGAGAAATTAACCATTCCCCCTCCTTCCTCCCACCCTCCTTTCACCAACTCCTGGTGAATACAGATCCAAACCCCCTTGGATCTTAAAACAAGGAGAAATCAATCTGGTTCTTAAAAAAGAAGGCTTTTAATTAAAGAAAAAGGTAAAAATCATCTCTGTAAAATCAGTATGGAGAATAACTTTACAGGGTAATCAAACTTAAAGAGCTCAGAGGACCCCCCTCTGTCTTAGGTTCAAAGTACAGCAAACAAAGATACACACTCTGGTAAAAAGGTACATTTACAAGTTGAGAAAACAAAGTAAATCTAAGACGCCTTGCCTGTCTTTTACTTACTAGTTTGAAATAGGAGAGACTTGTTTAGAAAGATGGGGAGAACCTGGATTGATGTCTGGTCCCTCTCAGTCCCAAGAGCGAACCACCCCTTAAAACAAAGAGCACACACAAAAGCCTTTCCCCCCCCAAGATTTGAAAGTATCTTGCCCCCTTATTGGTCCTTCGGGTCAGGTGTCAGCCAGGTTACCCGAGCTTTTTAACCCTTTACAGGTAAAAGGATTTGGAGTCTCTGTACACAGAGAGCTGTTACCCTTCCCTTCATAGTTATGACAGGCTCCATGCCTGCAGAAGCTCCAAGTAAACAAAACGTCCCGACCTGCCAGCAGCTTACCCTGACGGGCCAGGAGCCAAAGTTTTCCAACCCCTGAAATATAGGGTCGGCTTATGAAAGGGTCATACAGTTCTTGCTATTTTTACCTATCCATTTTGGGGGGTCGGCTTATAAATGAACGGGCTAATGAACGAGTACATACGGTACTTATCTGCGGTCACTGTTGTGTGGTTTCATCCACAGATGATGTGCGTGAGATGTTCGAGCTAACAGAATTTTTCCCCTCTGTGTGAACTGAACCCTAGTCCTTCATTTTCAAGGTCACTGAATTCACTTACTAATAACTGTTTAAATGTAGGGCAAAAGTCAAGGTGGAAGACTTTGAAATGTGAGGATTTATTTACATGCTTAACTTCCTGTTCATCAATAGGAAACTGTATCCCTTGCTTTATATATCTATACTGGTTAATTACAATTAAGTGACTGCTTAGCTGATGTCTTTGTCAGCCTACATTGTAAAGGAAGGTCAACTAATACTTGATCCATAGTTTAAAATTCTAATGTTCCTTTTCAAAGGAATAGTAGATTAACTATAGACTGTAGGAATAAATGAGTGGTTGGGCTTTCTTAGGTAAGTATGTAATTGAAAACAGTGAACTTTCAAGAAGTCATTCTAAACTGATCTGCAGAAAACACCAGACAGTGTATTAAGGGGATCCATCCTGGATTAGAGCACCTGGACTAGATCACCCATTAGATTTTTTTAGCTCTAGTTTCCATGATTCTAATTTCAGTTATTTAACTGTAATATTTTAAGATGTGACTTTTTTTTGAATTTGAAAATAATATGCTTGCTGACAACATTTACCGTTCATTGTGTATGTTGCAATGATACTTTAAACCACAGGCCTGTCGGTCCATCTCTGGGCTAGCCAAGTGGAAAGTACAGCTTTCCTGGCACATTTTGAGAGGAAATGGCCAAACCCCTTTCCCTCATTTTAAATATATTATAATGATTAATCTTGTGTGAGCTAATTGCTTAGTAAATAATTACTATTACTTACGCAGGTCATTCTGCTATCGGTGTCCATTTTTGTTGCTTTGTAAAAACGTTGGGATACCATGAGTATAAGACTGTTTAAATATTCATAAATGGCTTGATTTACCTATACTGTACAATAGTAAGTTGCAATACTAAACTGTAATAGATCACATTTTGAAATTTCACACAACTTAATGTTGCCTTCCCGAAAATGAATTTCAGTATAAAATGCCGAACAGACATCTATTCTAGAATTTACGACCTTTGACAAATAACTTAAACCACAACCTGTAACACAGAGAGTAGCCAATTCACCCATCCTACAAAAACCTTAACCTTACAGTCTCAGCCCTTTCCTATTGCCCGTTTTAAGAGATGGAATTGTCAAGGCCTCCTAATGGTCAACAGATTCAAACTATTTCAGACCACTGAGAAGGGAGTGAATGTGAAGGTGGTCATGGCCCTTCTTAAGAGAGCTCTGCAGCAGTTCCATTTAGAAAACTGATGGAGCACCAGTGTGATCACCTGTGCTGATGATATCTGAAGCAGTATTGCATGGAGAGAGAAGTGCCATGCCATTTGTGGCTTATTAGGTCAAAACCAACATCTTGAACTTGACCCAGAAACCAGACTGATAGCCAGTGTATGTGTGTTCATGGAGGGAAAAGCTGCTTAGCAAGTAAGCTGCTGCATTCTATGCTAGTTGTTGCCAAATGCATTTAAGATGTAGCCCTAAATAGAGCACATGGTCATCATCTAATTTAGAGATGATAAAGGCATTGATTACAGTAGCAGGGTTGCACCAAGAGATGGTTACACTCTTTAACCAGAAAAAGATGGGGAAAAAGTAGTTTTGATCACCACTGTTAGGATTATCCAGTATCAACTGTTAATATCACAAGACTACTGATTGCACCCTTGAGTGACAACCAGTGGGGACAAACAATCTGATTAGTCTTCATTATAGCTCCTGGCTTCTTGCCCCAGCTGGTCATAAAGCTCAAGGGTATAAAACTAAGGTAAACTAGCTTGCTCTCCTCATGCACCAGTCTCAATCAGACACAGAAAGATGCTTTATCGCACTATGAGTTGGATGACCTGAAAATACAAAGTGGGTATTGTCAGGATACTAAAAAAAAAAAAAAATTCACTGCATGTCTCCTTGCTAGCCGTCCTTTCAGCTCTCTATGCATAGTGGAAACCTGCGGCATCCCACATGAGATCATCCTCAGGGCAGAAAAGCACCCTCCCAAAACTGCTCGCTGGGATCTCTGAGATAAAAGAATAAAACAATCAAGTAGCAGTCCCAGCTACTCTTGCTGGAGTCCACACGTGGGGTCAGGTTTTAAACTAAATAATTGTTCTGCATTAGAAAAGGATCAAGATCTCAGATTCCCAAGAGGACGTGATCAAATTGATCTTAACTCAGTAATACAAGTGAAGACAGTTCCAGCCCTGAAGAGCTTACAGTTCAAAATAAGCATGACACACCAAGTGAGCTTCCACTCTTCCCTTGTCAGTCTTTGGGAGATATAATATCCATGGTGTCTAGAAAGATGAGAGAAGATTGTATCCTCCCTAGCAGCCAGTGGCATTTACTGCTGAAGCTGAGTCTTGCTGTCTGGACTTGTTGCCATAGGATTAGCACACAGTGGCAGTTTGAGAATAAAAAATAGGGTTGGATAGTTTGAAATGAAAGGATAGATGAAAGCCTCCCAAACTTAGAGCAGGTCTGCACTAGAAACTTTTGCTGGTAAAGTAATGTTCGTTAGGGTTATAATATCTTTGACATTTTTATAATGGCAAGAGGTCCTAGTGTAGATGCAGCTATACTGGCAAAAAAGTGCTTTTGCCAGTGTAGTTTATATAGGGAACTGGTATAAGCTATACCAGCAAAAGCACATTTTTCCCCAGTAAAAGCTATGTCTGTGCTAGGAAGGTTTGCCAGCATAGCTAAACTAACTCAGACTTCCCAATTTTCCACGGTGGTTTGGGAGAGTATTGGAGCCATCTCAGCATGAATCTGCTGCAAAGACAATAAGAAAGAAATGTTCAGAATCCTAGAGCACAATTGCAGAGAATGGATACAAGACTTCACAGAGGGATAAAATGTATATTATCTATACTGACAATTCAAACAAATAAACATACTAAAAATATTCAGGTATTGGCTTAAAGGTAGGTGTGTTGCTTTAAGCAGAACTGGATTGTGTCAGATGAAATAATTTAGTAATCACTGTTTTTGTTTTTTGACGTTTAGAGTGAAAAGAAGATGAAAACTACGGTATTAACTGCTGCTCTTTTACTGTCAGGAATCCCTGCAGAAGTGATTAGCCGCTCCATGGATACCTATAGCAAAATGGGAGACATTTTCACAGATCTCTGTGTTTATTTCTTTACTTTTATCTTCTGCCATGAACTGCTTGTTTTTTTTGGTTCTGAAGTGCCGTGATGGCTGTAGAACTCAATACAGTAGTTACACAAAAGTTTTCCGTTCTGTATTCCTATAATATCGCTGGGTATGCCACACAGGTTTATACCTTACTTAATTCTTACCTATTCAAATGCTTGAAAGCGGTTAAATCCACTCATATGAATGGAAGAACAGGGTCCCAGGTTTGGGGTTGTATTAGTACAGTTTATTCAATTTCTAATGTGGAGATTAGAGTGCAAGTGTCAGTGATTTATATCTTTTGCTTATTTAGTTAGATGTCCTTTTCACCGTACCCCAAGCATCACTTACATTGTGTCACTTTCTTGTTGACTTGGTAGTGTGAGAACACAACAGAACTGGTGTGCTCTCAACAGAACTATTTATACATTGTGACAGGACTTACCTAAAGACTGCTCCCTGTCTATTACTTCTGTTTTTTTAAATTTAAATAAAGTAAAATGTACCCATACATTCTATTGTTCAAACTCTGAATGTTGAACAAAAATAGCCTCAGCCCACACGCCTGCTGCTTCTGCAGCAGTTTGGTGATGCGCCACCTCATTGTCTTGCTCTCAGTTGAAGTCCTCATTCTCTCTGTGCATAAGTTATGTTATAGCCATGACTGATTTCAAGTGAGGAAACCGGAGCAAAACAACTAAGCAAAAAAATCCTGTTGTCCTACAAATGTCGTTCTTCAAGAAGTAAGAAGACATAGAAACTATGCTAATCTCATAATGTTTCCCTGAGCATTTGGCAGCTCTCTAATCCTAGTAGTATCCTAACCCTAGTTTTACCCATGCTTTCATCTTGACCTCGGTTTACTACTCTCTCTAGAGGGTTCACTTTCTACAGTGAAAGCAGCACTCAAGAAGCCCGAGTCTAAAGCAGTTGCTTCATATTTATTAAAAATGTCTGTGTTTTGGTCAACCGCTAGTTAACCAGGGGACTACATATTTTGACTATGTATATCTTCTCTGTATTTCTCTCCCTGTGTTTATTACTAAAGACATTTGCATGTAAACAGGATCTTAATTGCATGGGAGTTCTGCTCCGCTGCTTAATACTGCTACTGCTCAACAGCATAACAGAACCTTTGGCTGGCATTCAGCAGAGCTATTTATATATTGACTGACTTGCTTATTCCTTTGTTCTACATGTTGGTTTGAAGTCCCCCCCAAATAAATCACAATAGCCATGCTTATTCAAATCTGAACTACTGAAACGGGCAATGGAAAAAACATTTTCTTATCGCCATGTTGTTTTGAGTTTATTTCCACATGAAGATCAATGTGTTGAGGGGGAAAGTGGTACCTGTTATGGAGCACATGTAAAACCAGACAGGAGGGATTTAGGAGGCCGCAAAGGCAGATAAATCCTATTCTCTCTCTAGGGGGAAGTGAGCTAGCTGTAGTTCTACTTTCAATCCCACAGAAATGTGACACATTGAGAGGAAGGAATGGGCAATCTGAAGTGTTATCCCAGCTAGCCACCCCTTCACATTGGCCATCTTCAATTATTTCTGCTGCATCTGAACTAGGTGTTACCTCCACCATGTAGCTTGTCTATTGGTGAAATAGGCCAATATCAGTTTTTTAATTTGGAGAGGATCAATAATTTTATTGGTGCTTGTCTACAGTGATTTTTTTGTTTTGTTTTGTTAGGAAGCAAAACTATCTGGCTACATGTTGCTAAAGTAAACAAGACTGTGCTTTCTGCCTAATCTTTCTCAACTAAAATTATCTGCATTATAATTTTAATTCTGTATTTCTCAGCCAATTGTTAGACCTATGTCTGTGGCATGAAAAAGAATCGTGTGTTCTGAGTCTACACTACATTCAGTTCTTTTGCACTACCATTGTTTTTGTTGGCCAGCCAATTGTATACATTTAGGGCTAGATTGTAAACTATTCTGATTTAGGTCTGATAACACCAATGCAGTTTGTGGTGATAGTGTCGCTGCGTTGATCCCAGGATATTAGAGAGAGACAAAGTGGGTGAGGTAATATCTTTTACTGGACCAACTTCTGTTGGTAAAAGAGGCTCTGTGTAGCTTGAAAGCTTGTCTCTTTCACCAACAGAAGTTGGTCCAGTAAAAGATATTACCTCATCCACCTTGTCTTAGCACAAATGTAGACACGTTAAAAGGTTCAGTCAACAGATTCAGATAGGGGCTTTTCAAACCATCGTTGAAATGTAAATAATGAGTCTGCTCAAAAAATGATACGTGACCTAACTTTCAGGATTATATAGCACATAAACAGGTATTGCAGAAATGCAACATATTAGTCCTATGGAGGGTCTAAAAATGCTGAATTTCTCATTATTCCTGACTAATATTTCAGCTTTTAAGAATGGTTTCATTGTAATTAGTTAAGCCTAGAAAAGCACCTTGGCATACAGATTATTATTCTTTCTGCACTCTACTCCTTTTGCATTCCTATAACTTGGAAATGACTAAACCAGATTTTTTTCATAGGTGCCAGAAGAAATATCGCTCTGAGGCTTAACATGGAAATTTTGACTCTGAAAAGAATACTTTTGTCAGACATATAATCCTGCTGAAGATAGGGTGGGCATATAACCCTCCTCCTTGCTGTAATTAATGAATGAAGCATAGGGCTGATAGGGCAAATGTTCATAAGATGGAATTCTTTCATTGCTTGGTCAAGGATGAATTCAATCGTCATGATCTCATTTTCTCTGTTCATGTACAATATTCTCTTTAATGTTTCTTTATTTCTACACTGGTTGTTTTCAATTCAATTTATTAAAGTTATGCTTGTTACCACCTTCTCTTATGGTTTGACTGCTTGGGAAGCCACCCTTTTTATTAATTGAGATCTGCTTTGTTAATGTTCTGAACAAGTTGCCAATTCCACAAGGAACATCAAAAAAGGGCTAAATTTTACGGTCTTGTATTAGTAAACTGTTTGATTTGAGCACAGGACTAAGAGCTGGAAATTCCTTAGTTGTAATCCCAGCTCAGATGCTTTCAATGAGTGGTTGAACCCCCTGCCTCAGTTTCCCTATCTGCAGAGCTCGGTTCTATTTCTCCCATTCTACAAAGCTGTACTTGTTCAGGTATCCCAATGACATTAATAAGACCCCAGAAGATACAATGCTTGCCTGAGTAACACTTTGAAGGGGGGAAGCTCATGGTTACTTACAGGGTATTGTATAAATTAATAATATATAATGTTTGTAAAGCTCTGTAAACATTAAAAGAACTATATAAATGCTAAGTATTGTTTGGGGTTAATTACTGCACATAAACTGCATATGTGTTAAATTACAGCACATGAGGTTAGCACACTGATTACTGAGTAAACCTCAAAATTGGTGTTCATTATATGCATATACATTTATTTTTTTTAAATCTGAATTGATTGCATTTACAAATTGTTTACCTAAATTTGAATGCCAACTGAACAATCAATCTCAATGTACAGATGTTTGGGTACTCTGAGGTGACCATACCTGATCTCAATATTACCTTTTTTACAAGAATTTCTGAAGTTATTAATAGTCCCTTTGGTAATTGATATCATACACTTGTTACATGTGATGAGTCTTTGTTTGTACCAGGTATATCACATGTAGTAGCTCTAAGTGTCTGGCTGTGTTTATTTAGGTTCATATTTTCCTCTGTAAAACAGATTTGTCTTCAGCAGTCATTTAAAATGACTGTTTTAATCAAACAAATCAGGACTGACAACGTGTCTTGTTATGGTCTTCATAAAATAGTTATTTCCCTAGTAAATCTTGGTTTTTATAACTTTACCAGTAAAATTAGCATCTGCCTAAGACAAAAGTGGTCAGTTTTCAGGTGTAGTTTTCATTTGACTGATTAATTTTAGTCCCAAAACCATTAAAAAGAAGTTTGCTATTATTTTGTAAATTTAAATAAAAATGCCCCTTAATCTGGACTTGTAATTTGTATGGTACAAATTCAGTCCTTTACCTGGAGCAAATGTTTCTGGTTTCAGACAGTGGGACCCATTAGCAAAGAAGTAGTTATGTATGGAAGTCATAATTAGGTCACTTTTCTCTATCTGTATTCTGAGGTGTTTTTTCCCCTCTAGATTTAAATATTCTGAAAAATGAGGCTTCCATCACCTTTGAGGTGTAATTTTTGCAGGCTAATTGAATTCACTAAGATTTTTCATCCTGATATGCAGCCTCAGATTTAATTTTATTGCATTTTTTTCAAGTTACACCCATTGGACCATTCTAAATAAGAGCCCTTCATTTATTTTTAGATAGGTGTGGCTTCCCTTCCCAAACTACATTCCTATACACAAAGAAAACCTGCCCTCTAACAAGGGTTACAACATGGTAAAAATTAGGGCTGTCGATTAATTGCAGGTAATGCATGCGATTAACTAAAAAAAAATCGCAATTTATTGCACTGTTAATATACCAATTGAAATTTATTAAATATTTTTGGTTTTTCTACAATGTGGATATCAATTACAACATAGAATACAAAGTGTACAGTGCTCACTTTATATTTTTATTTTATTAAATATTTGCACTGTAAAAATGATAAAAGAAATAGTATTTTCACTTCACCTCATACAAGTACTGTAGCGCAATCTCTTTACCATGGAAGTGCAACTTACAAATGTAGTTTTTTTGTTACATAACTGCACTCCAAAACAAAACAATGTAAAACTTTAGAGCCTACAAATCCACTCAGTCCTACTTCTTGTTCAGCCAATCGCTCAGACAAACAAGTTTGTTTACATTTACGGGAGATAATGCCCACTTCTTAGTTACAATGTCACCTGAAATTGAAAACAGGTGTTCACATGGCACTGTTGTAGCTGGCATCACAAGATATTTACATGCCAGACACGCTAAAGATTCGTATGCCTCTTCATGCTTCGGCCATCGTTCCAGAGGACATGCTTCTATGCTGATGATGCTCGTTAAAAAAATAATGCGTTAATTAAATTTGTGACTGAACTCCTTGGGGCAGAAATGTATGTCGCCTGCTCTGTTTTACCTGTATTATGCCATATATTTCATGTTATAGCAGTCTCGGATGATGACTCAGCACATGTTGTTCATTTTAAGAACACTCTCACTGCAAATTTGACAAAATGCAAAGAAGATACCAATGTGAAATTTCTAAAGATAGCTACAGCACTCAACCCAAAATTTAACAATCTGAAGTACCTTCCAAAATCTGAGAGGGATGCGGTATGGAGCATACTTTCAAAAGTCTTAAAAGAGCAACATTCTGATGCGGAAACTACAGAACCCAAACCACCAAAAAAGAAAATCAACCTTCTGTTGGTGACATCTGACTCAGATGATGAAAATTAACATGCATTGATCTGCATTGTTTTGGATCATTATCGAGCAGAACCCATCATCAGCATGGACACATCCTCTGGAATGGTGGTTGAAGCATGAAGGGACATGTGACTCTTTAGCACATCTGGCATGTAAATATCTTGCAACACCAGCTACAACAGTGCCATGCAAATGCCTGTTCTCACTTTCAGGTGACATTGTAAAAGAAGCATGCAGCATTATCTTCAGCAAATGTAAACAGACTTGTTTATCTGAGCGATTGGCTGAACAAGAAGTAGAACTGAGTGGACTTGTAGGCTCTAAAGTTTTACATTGTTCTATTTTTGAATGCAGGGGGTTTTTTGTACATAATTCTACATTTGTAAGTTCAGCTTTCAAGATAAAGAGATTGCAGTACAGTACTTGTATTAAGTAAATTTAAAAATACTATTTTTTTGACAGTGCAAATATTTGTAATAAAAAATAAATATAAATTGAGTATTGTACACTTTGTATTCTGTTGTCAGTGAAATCAATATATTTGAAAATGTAGAAAACACCCACAAATATTTAAATAAATGGTATTTTATTATTGTTTAACAGTGCAATTAATCATGATTAATTTTTTTAATCGCTTGATGAATGTAATGTTATAGGTTGGTTTCAGTGACATTTAGGTTTCATTAGCACTATAACTTTTAACTCAGGATTCCCACAAGTATAGGGTACAGAGGCTTTAGTTGAGTATTACATGACAAAAATATTCCTGTTTGAGTACTGCTGG